AGCCCTTCTTGCTAGGTCCGCTAATTTTTTCTTTTAATCTCTTGAACATTTTAAAATTGTGAAAAATTATATGATGTTCTGAACAACTTTCTCTTTAGCTCCTTTGCTTCTCTCCCTGTGTAGTTTAAGAATTCAATAAATATTCCAAAGGGAAAAGTCACGGGATTTTGCCCGACTTGTTTACGCCTCAGTTGTTTTGAGACGTTGGCCTCTCAGGCTTCGGCTGCCACTGCAGCTCTGATCTGTGCCTTTTCTCTCCAGACTTTCAAATGTGCGGGAGGCCCAGCCGGCGCTCTGCCCTCTTAGTGACAGCTCTGTGTCTGGCCTTTTCCCTTCGGTGAGAACTGGCCAGCGCAGCCTGCAGGGCCGCCCGGGTCCCCTCAAATCCTAGCTAGCAGTTCTAGAAACGGATTTTCCTTTTGCCTTTTAGCTGGTCATATTTTGCTGTAAGCTACTTCCACATATCAAGAACCAGAAATCTCTCCTAAGACCTTTTAAAACGATTGCTTTGGATTTCTTTTGAACTAAGAAGTGGGGTGGAGGTGGAAGGCTTGAATTGTTAATCAGAAGCGGGGGTGCTAGGTGCCCTATTGCCAATAAAATGAATTAAATTCCCCCAAAATGGATGGGTATTGATAGTAATTTTTATCTTACTTCTTGTTTCTTCCCTGTGTTCTAGAAAAGAGAGGCTGACATATAAGAAAGATACATAATAAGTCAGATTATAAAACTAATAAATAGGAATTATTTTAAAAAAGCAACAACTAAGCACATGTGCAATAAATGGTTTCCAGTTTTTCTTTCTTTGTTTTCATTTGAATGTATTAATGCTATTTTCAATTTCATATCAAAGCCATTTGGAATAATTACATATACTTTAATAACATCAGAATTTAATGTTTACTGCCTGCAGTTGCTTTTCTTTACATTTCTGGGTTTTTTTCTCCCTTCCCCAAACTCTGTCTTGGTCACAGCCTCATCTTGTCACAGTCTCACGGTCCTAGAGCACAGCATGCATATCTAGGTCATTTCTTCTGACTAATTTCTCTGCAATGACCATCTTTTGAAATGATTTATTCTTCTAAATCAAGCTCACATTTTACTTAGGACTTTTTTTGACCTCACATAAGAAATATAGAGGTCATCATGCTGACACCATCACTGAATTTGGGGGAGGGTGTGTATTGTTGGACATGGTCTTATTAGCCAGGTCAGTTCTTTATGGGACCCTCATGGCCTGAGTCCCATATGAATGCGTTTGCAGCATCTTACAGCTGTCTGGAGTACAGCAAACATACAATGCTCCAGCCATCATTTCTTTCAACTGCCTTTTTTACAATTCCTTTGCCATCCTGCCAAGTTCACTACATTCTCTACTCTCTTTCATATACGCAGGTCCGTCCACCAGCCCTGAGCTGTATGATCATCTCCTCCATCTGTTTTTTCCGTCGCTTCCTGATCGGCCTCCCGACATCTGTGTGGCTTCTTTTTAATATCCTGTGTGCTGCGACTTTTATTTCCCTCAGCAGCCTCAGCACCCTCACTGACTTTCCTTTTGTCAGGAGTGTGAGTCACAACCATTATCAAAACAAAAATGAAATGGCAGATCGAGAGGGTATAGTGATGTAAACCACACTTTATAACAAACTCAATTACGCGCAGCAAGTTAGAACAAATATTGGCTGAGAGATAGAACAACATTCAAATGAAATTACATATTGTACTCTAGTAAATTGTTCTATTTTAGTATATGCAAAATTATGGGAAGCATTTTAGAAACAAATTGCACAATAATAGGCCAGCGGGTGGCATGAATGACACATCTGTGTGTGTACTTGACGTGTCCATCAAAGGGGCTCACAAATTTAGGAATGTTGTTTCATTCTGCGTTCGGTAGAATTAAATGCTTTCTCAATTTATGTCCATAACATTTTCACGTTCCTCTATCTCGACACTAGCCGGGAAGGTCCGTGAGTTCAGGAGACCAGCTGGCTTGTTCTCCCCTGCACCCTTTCATGTCTGGACAGTGTAGATGCTCCTTAAGTATTCGCTGAATAAATGAATCAACCCACAGCATTTCTTCACTCAGGAATCCCGAGGCCTAGAAAGGGCTTGATAATAACAGACATTCAACTAATATTTGTCGAATTCATTATTTCAAATAACAACCATCTATCAAGTGTTTACTGTCTGCCATGAACCGTGCTGAACTGAATTAGAATTTCTAGGAGCCAATTGGAAGTGTGTCCCCTTCTGCCCCCTTCCATCCCCCCACTGGCCTAGTATTGCCTTCCTTCCTAATTCCATGAGTTCATGCTTTTCTATCAAGAAAAGTAATTATTGAGGACAGAAGTTAAAAAGGCTATGAGACAGTAAAAATGCCTCTTGGAAATCACTTATGTTGAAAGCTTTTATTCATCTTTAATACTAGACATAATCCTTGATTTTTTTTTTCAGATTAATCTTCCATTAACAAAAGACAAGTTCTAAGGACATAACTATTTAGAGAGTGACTGGGGAGAAGATTGAGTGGTCGAGGTTCAAAATTCCCTCCTAGGGAATTCCCCCAATATATTGGGTTGTTGGAAAAGTCATGATGTATTTTTTCTATGTTTTTCATTGCAAAAATGTCTTGACTTTTCCAACAACCCAATAGAAACAGTTACAAACTTTGCTAGAAGGAAGACATCTTTCAGTAATTCAAGGATGAGTGTTTGTCAGTGGTCTTGTGTGGCATTGGCTGGAAGGAGCAACAAACGAGGGGAGTGATCGTGGTTAAAAAGACAAGAACAGGGCCAGCCGAGTGGCTCAGTTGGTTAAGGGCTCGCTCAAGGGTTTGAGCTCTGAGCAACAGCAGTTCGAGTCCAGCCCGAGCTGAGCAGCCACTGAGCTGCCAACAGGTAGCAAGATGGCTCAGCTAAAAAAAAAAAAAATATATATATATATATATATATATATATATATATAATTAAAATTGAATTAGAATTTTAGGAGATACAAAAATTTAAATGCAATCATTTTCTAATAATGTTGGATTCTTTCTTGCATTCCTTGGGAAAATATTGAGGCTTACCAAGTACTTGGCGTTGCACTAAAGACTGGCTAAAGAAGAAATAAGATACAATCCGTGTGAGATACAGTCTGAGAAAGTCCATGCTTTATCAGGGAGCCAAGACAATTAAAGACCAGCTGGGAAAAGTGAGGGCTGCTGCCTGTCACTTGCTGTGGTACTTTACCCAAGACAGGGGTTCCTTCCCTCTCCCGGTAGGTTACACACACCTTCACAGAAGTCAGATTCAGAGGAGTCAGATTACTAAACAACAAGTAGGAATCCATCAGTTAGAAAATAAAAGGAAGAACATTTCAGGCAGAAGAAACAATATATAAAAAAAGAAAAATTCATGGAGATGCACAGATTCTCTGGGCAGCGTGCCATCTGAGGTGGCTGGACCATGATGTCGGCAGGGCAGGGATGCAGAGGACATGCGACCCGCAGAGCGAGGGCAGGCAGGGAGGCTCGGACGTTAGGCGCCCGTCAGGTTATGTTATGTCTTTCATTGAGCAAGAGATGGGTGCTCAGGATCAGAAAGTCACATGATGGCGACCGAGAGACAAACGGTGCCTCTGCTGAAGCACCTTTAAGTGTATCTGCACCAAATGTAGGACACATTGTCTTTATGTAGAATAAAACATGGGATGATAATGTAGATTCTTTTCTAATTACATGTTTTTAGCTTTATGTAATATATTCATGTCAAAACATGCACTTTTCCCACATCTTTTAATTAATAAGATCTAATCAATCCCCTCGTGCTGGATTTTCCTTGGGGCAGGGAGGGCTCCGAGCAGGCTACAGCAGGGGCAGCTCTGCAGGTGTGCAGGGGAGGGGCTAGGGGAGCAGAAACTGGGACCCAGGAAGGGGTGGGCTGGACGGATGCTTCACAAGCAACGCTGACAAAAGTCCTGGCTGACTAGACGCTGGGGGTGGTGAGGAGTGAGGACTGAGGACAGCTGAGATCTGGAACCATCTAGGGGCCGAGGGGTGAGTTTAAGCAGCAGAGGGGACGCAGCAGAGGGCACCCCGGCCTCCGACCATCATGAGTTGGAGATTGCCTGAAAAAATAACCCCAAATCACCCACAACACAAAGACATTCTTATAATTATATGTGAAACTCAGGGATGTCCACTACTTTGCATTGATTTTTTTTTTCAATTATAATAAAATCCACAACATTTTTCTAGAACATCATGAATTCACGTATCTTTATTGGGTCTCTGTCCATTTAGTGGCCTTTCCAGGGCTGCTCTGATTAGAACAGACACAGCCAACGGCGCCAGGGGAGGCGGAGGCGTGGGCCCCCGACGGTGTCCGATTCAACACGCGTGTGTGGCCCCTGCCAGGACTCAGCAGGTCTGGCTCCTTCCTCCCGGGGTTGCTCAGGTTCTGCACTCCAGGTGCCACGGGCATCTCAGGAGGACTGGAATGCGCCTTGTGTTTAAATTCAGTCCCCGGATCAGACTGAGCCTGTCACACACCTGCCCTCGTCACCTGATCATGGGCTTAGCCTCGGTGTGACAAAGCGATGTGACTGACAAGGCCGTGTGGCTGCGGGCTGCCTTGGGGCAGACATCCGCCCTCTCCAAGGCCCACAGTGCGCACCAATCTGACAGTTGTCATGAACCCCACAGTTGGGTCAGGTAATGTTTGCTGCACGTCCTTTCCTTTAAGATTCAATGGCAAAACCACCAAATTAAAAAGCAATCTCCAGCCTTCACGATTTTTATACCTCACGTTACATCACCCACAGAGTTGTCAGGTGGGCAACAGACAGGAAGCCAGGGTAAATCATTGTCACCAAGAAGTTACTATCAAAGAGCATGAGACAGGAACCAAGGGAGAACCCCAGCAGGTTACGACAGGTGCAGGGAGACCCAACGGCGCGCAGAAGGCAGGTAGAGGAGCGCAGGCTGTGTGGTGAGACAGGGTGGGCCCGGCAGACGGCTGCGGGTGGTTTGCTTTTCTTCCTGCTCCAGAGTTTCGCTGGAAAACTGGTGAGAGAAAGTGAACCCTAAAGTTAAATTTCTGTGGAATATGTTATATTTTACTCTAAAGGTACCTACAATAAAGTTCTAGAAAATGCTTCAGGGATTTAAGAGATGTCCATATAACTTGATAATTTTTTAATTTGATATCTCAGAGATTAGCCACTATGGTGACTAGTTGTGTCTAGATTAAATCTGGATGTCTTTCAGTCTATCTGTCTATTATCTATCTATCCATCATCTATCTATTATCGATCTATCTATCATCTTTCTATCACCTATCACCTATCTATCCATACATCTGCCTATCATCTATCCATCTATCTTCTATCTATCATCTATCTATTTATCTATCACTTATCTGTCATCTATCTGTCTTGACAGAGACTATGCAGTGTATATGCCAACATATTTTACATGGGAGTGACTCTAATATAAAGTAATCGCAAAATGATCACTTATGAGCCCTACATAATAATATAAGAAAAAAAATCTAAAGACATGTTTTAGATTGTATTATAAGGAAACAAGCCTGAAATTCAGCATCAGTCTCAAAGGCCAGTGAAGTGATTTCTCAGAAAGGTATTAAAACTCGACAGAAAGCTGTCCTCTAGTTTTTCCCCAAATGGCTGTGTGGTTATGTTCGCTGTGCATCAAGGATGTGCAGGAACCACAAATGGGCTCTGTAAACAAGCCGATTCGGAAGGGGAGGAAGGCTGTGCCAGGAAATAGCAAAATGAGGAACTCATTTAAAATGAAGAATTAAAATGAGGGGGAGGGAGAACAGAAATTGGAAAGTCTGGTTGTGAAGCCACGAGTAAGGAAGCTCAGACCTTCTCGCCGGCGCCCCAAGCGCAGGACGAAGAGGCTGCAGTGAAAGGGAGTTGTCTTCCCGGCCAGGCACCCAGCTGGCCTTGTGACAACAGCGCCTTCTTCCTCTGACAGCCGCGTCTTCGCCACCCCATCATCACTTCACTCCATTAGTAGGGACCATCACGGGTTGACTCAGGTTCGAGTCTTCCCGGAAAAACCTATCCTACTGCGTCTGGACCTATGACATTCAATGATCAGAAGTTGCTAGAACTGTTGGGGAAGTAAATTCACTTTTGCTGGGATGGTTCAGCTGCTCGAATATCATTTAGTAATTTCTTGGAGGATCACCTGCATTAGATAATGCCACAAAAGAAGATCTCAGGGTGTCCTGGGGAGAGGAATAGTTAGCTGAGAGCCAGGTCTGCTGTAGGGAGTTTTTAGAAATAGGATCCAATAAGTTCCCTTTTTTTGTTTGTGCTCATAATACTTATAGCTAGTTTTCTTTTACTTCCAACAGAAAGAACCCTGACTAATAAATGTGCACTTTGAAATCCAAGTCAGACTAATTGAAAATGGTGAAAGAAAATATCTTGCAATTGTTTACATTTAATAGAGCAGGTGTGATGGTTTGTAAATACTTCTCAGGAGATAATGGCAGCAGGAAATGAGTAGATTCTAAAATCAGGAATAACACAAGGACATACAGGTCTTCGTTTTGAAAGTCAGGACCCTCGTCTAGTACCAAGAGCAGACACACCTGCCATGGGATTTGTGTCAACTCTGCACTTTCTGGATTAACTGCTGGTTGGATTGTCTTGTTTATCCCTGTGCTCCGTGAAAATGAATATTTTTTCTTACCTTATAAAGAGGTGAGATACTAATCGTCTGTTCCAACAAGAGCATATGTGGACTCAGTAGGGAGCATTGGAGTGAAAGTATTATACGACTGGGTGAAGTTAATAATTTCTTCTTGAAATAAAATATGTAACAAACCATGGATTGTATCACGGTAAGGTCTGAGAGTGTGGAGGGTTTTTAAAGGTTAATCAGGCCATCCTCAAACTTCCACAGTTTAATGAAAAGTGAGAACATTGTTTCTAGTTGGAATTTCACCAACTTCCTTCTGCATTAGGTGACTCGCCCTGGAAGGACTTCTCGTTGTGTAAAAGCTGTTTCTTGATTGATATGAAATATGTCCCCTTTCAAATTATTATTTCCCACTCTGTTCTGAAACAATACAGACTATTTCAATCAAGCTATTATATTTCCCTTTAACTTCTCTCATCCAAATACCCCCAACTATTAAAACATTTCTCGTTTCTACATATCAATGCGTCCTCCGTGCCAAGTGCTGTGCTTGGCAGAGACAATTTCTCATTCCGGCAGTTATTCCCTGGATGGAGAATATACAGATACATAAACATAAAATAATGTAGAGTGCTGTGACCATAAATAAGGCGATGGGAGAGTCACAGACACAGTGAATGGTCAAAGCATTCATCTTTCGGGAGGTGATATTTGAGCTGAAACCTGAATAATAAGAAAGGGCCATCATGGGAGATGTGGGGAAAAGCCAGTCAGACACAGTCAGGCCAAGTGTCCACACACACAACCACCAAGAGAAGACTGCTCTGCTTATTATATGACTTCTAGTCCTGTTTCCTGGGGCAGCCTGGTTTTTCCTTTTTTTTTCACTCAGAGTGCAAGTCTTAGAGGTACTTATATTTGAAACTAATTTTTAATAAATTCAAATACAGTGGAAGTATTATTCCCTGTGATTTGATGCTCTGGTTCAATTCATGCAGCCGGAGATTACATTAGCCTTTTTAGCAGTCAGGTCACATTATGGATTCATATTAATGAAATGCCGTTTTCAGTGCAGTTTCTAAAAGTAATTTTTACCAGGTAATTAGTTTCATCAACATGGCTCCTTTTCCTTACACTCTTGGGAGTAACTAAAATAAGGACTTGGGACCTTTGCAGCCGAGCGATATTAATAACAATAGTTAACAACAAAAGCTTTAATTAAGTTGCTGTGATATGAGTCTGGCGAACCTTGCCGTTCCCACTCTGCAAGCAACCCTCGAACTGATGGGCACCGCCTGCAGGGCTACACCATGGGGGACGGGGTGGTTTTCCATGTGGAGCTTGCTGACACTGTACCTTCTGGGGAGACTCATCTGCTGCTGACCCACAGCTGCCCTGTTTCCTCTGGGACTCACACCCCCCAGACCTGCATTGCTGGAGCTCACTGTCCAGCTACTGTGACACTGTCACCAGTTTATAAAAGTGAAAAGCAGCGGTTTTATTAAATGTGGTAATCATCTCTTCACCTCTTTGCCCTCCCTACCAAATGCCTCCAGCGACACCAGTTTAGCATCCCAAATGGGCGGTCTCTGGCCTTCAGTGGTCTCATTTCCTCTCTGACCAATCACAAGCACTGTTCCCTCTAGCACTTAACCACGCCCCTGAGTTTTTCTGTGAATAATATCCTATTAATAATCAACAGTGGAATTGTACATGAAGACTGACTTTTATAAACACTCCTCTCGAGATATGTTTACAGAAAATAATTTATCTTCCAATATTCATTATCACTGCTTCCCAGAGCTCACTTCTAACCCTCAGAGCCTAGCACTCCACTGCCCTTGGTAGCTGCTCACTCACTCAGCCATGTGCTCCCGACTGACAATGGACGAGTCCCATCGAGAACTTTCTCCAGGATTCTTGGGACTGTCCAATGGTCTAAACTCAAATTTCAAGATGTCTATTCGGATTTGCCTCAAACGTCTTGAAGCTAAACCAGAAATTATAATAACTGGGGTTGTCGGAAAAGTCATGACGCATTTTTTTTAAGTTTTTGTTGCAAAAACGCGTGATGACGGTTCCAACAACCCAATATATTCAATAACCTACCAAGTAACATATGTTTTTATTTTTCTATTTGTTTGTTGCACTTAACGAATCTTGACACAGAATTCACTAGGAACTAGGCGCTGGGTGCTCCCATCCCCCACTTCAGACTTCAGCCTACTCACTCCCACTCTTCACCCTCCGTGTCCTCAGAGATGATTGTTTTTGGAAAAGAGAGTGAAGGGAAAGAAGAAGAAAAGCACAAAGAGCTCATGAGATTCTTAAAATTCTCCTTTTATATGAGAAACATCTTTGTCTGTTTTTATTTCTCTTTTCTTGCATATTCCTACTGTTTTTTCATTCTAATAATGTCTTTCATTATGCAGTGTAGGTTGTCTATTTCTCTTACTAAAATGTTAAAACCAAAGTAATAGTTATAATAACAACTTTAAAAAGTGATCTGTCATTTACTTTTATCGGATTCCAAATGACACAGAATCCTTGGGTTGGGATGAGGGTGACATGTAAGCGTGGACAATAAGGCTAACTTCTCCTTAGTCTCAACTCTACGTCTTAGTATAGTTTATGGTAACTATTATTGAGTTCGTTTACATAATCCCGCACTTCAATAATTTGTGTTGGGCTAAATGCACAACTTTATAACAGAATTTACCATTTTAGAATCAGGTCATCATTTAGGTCAGTGAGATTTAGAACACCAGTATCTCAGCTCCAGCTTCATTTAAAATATGAATCCAGTTAACAATTCAGTGTTTTCCTTTCTTTAGCATATTGACATCTACCGTGTCCGAATATGCCAGGTTCGGTGCCAGAAGCCGTCAGTGTCAGAGTTTCCCACTTAATTATGAGCATCTAGAAGAAAACCACGTAGACTTCCTGACACACTGGAGGTTACATTCAGCACATGATACTTATTTAATACAGTTCAAATTTTAATGTTACTTGGTGTCAAAAGACAGACATTTTATTACAATTTAAAATCATTTTAAATACCACCAATAAATAACAATAGTGGAAATGGCTGTTTTTCTTAAACTATTTTGGTGACTTGCCATTGGTCAGTTTATTTTATTGAGATGTAATTAACATGTAGCATTGTATTAGTTGAGGTGTACAACCGTGTTTGTCTATAATAGAGGTGACATCTCTGTAAGATTAGTATCTCCAGCCTTTTTAGTGTGTTTAGCTAAAAATTGGGATTTTCTTTTTTATATGACTGGTTTATGACATGAGATTGAAACCAAATGGCATTTATACTAAGAAGGTTGTATTCTCTGTCTTAATGTTATTTACCTTTGTATTTTTTAGTATTTACTTTTGTATAGTATGTAGTTTAGATGATAACATGACACTGCCCTCAGCCCAGATTCCGTGGTATAGGTAGAGCCTGCATTTTTTTTTCCTATGATAAATCCTGACTTTTGTGTCACTACCTACTTGAATCTAGGGTAAAGCAAAGGTATAATAAGTGACAATTATATTAACATAATGGAAAAAGAAGGCATGACCAAATATCAGAGAACTGGAATAAATTTCCTAAAACAAAAAAAGCCAAAGTGAATTAGATTGATAAAAAGGATGAAACACTCTTACTTTACGAAAAAAAAAAATCAAATATTTAGTGAATGAAAAATAAGTAAACTAATGAATGGATTATCATAAATTAAGAATTAACATATTGGAAGGGCACTTAAATGTTTATAGTTGAACTAACTACACAATGACTAACCTCTTTATATAACATCCCCATTATTGATATTTTAGCCTATTCTAGATAATTTATTCAAATTTTGACTGCTTTATTAGAAAATTATTGCATATATTAATGTTCTCATATCTACTGATTGTTCTTCCATTGATCTAAATTCTATCGTTGGAGTCCTACATGACTCTCACTCTTGCTCCACAAAACAGTTCAAGAACTACTTAAAAGAAATCATTGTCGTATTCAGTCAAAGCATGCTCATCTTTCTAATGTTCCAGGCGCTGGTCTAGGGTTCTTTTAACTCCCTTCACTGTAGTAATGACACGGCTTCTCAACTCACACTCTACCTTTCTCATCTTAAAGTTGCAAACAGTGATACCCACACGATCTGAAGAGTGTAGAGTAAAAGCCTTACTGTCACCTATTTCATTCTAAATACCATGTTTCCTAGAATGACCCAGAAGAATGAACTGTTTTGGTTGTCATACCATGGATTGTCTCAAAATATTCATAACATCAATAATCATGAAAGGTTTATCATTTTTCAAATTACTTTAACTTGTCACAACTTCAGCCTCAACCAATTATATCAACTACACTGTTCTAGATAGGTGGTTTGTTTTGCAATCCAATATGCTGCAAACCCTGTTCAATAATGAAATCGTATATCCCCATTTCATAGGATAGAAAGTGGATTGTGATAAAGGCTTGCTGGATGTCCCGATCTTGAGGATAAAAATTACAGTTATGCCGATGAATTGCATAGTGATGCATTTTCTTCATAAGCATGGCTCAAAGTAAGCAAGTGGGAAGGGATAAAGTTCCATGACACTGTGCAGGGTGTGACCTTGAACTTGCTGGTGCACCTGCTGAAGCCTTAGCTGTGTGGGCTTAGCCTCGCTGACAGCACCGCCCTCCAGGGTCAGCAAAGGCAGCTTCTAGCCAACCACACCTCCCATGGCTACAACACAGTCGTGAACGTAATAGTAATATCAATAATAAGTGCTGTCTTCAATTGGTTTTAGAGATAGCCTGACTCGGTTTTCTACTGTATTGTGCTCTTTTATCTTAAATGACTTTCTTTGAAATGAGAAAAAAATGTGTCCTTATTTTCTAGTTAACCTCATGTAGACCTATTGTTGCCTGAAAACTGATATTTTGATTCTTTAAGCTTCATAGTGTTCCTAAACGTTACAGGTTTCCCTGGGTTGTTCATTTCAAAACCTAGCTACTCGTTCCCTGTATTAGAGCCTCGTTAATACTGAGCCCTGGGCTTTTGTGCGAGTGAAGGCATTGGCTACAGGGTGCCGGCTGCTTCTGGGAAGCGTGGGATGCCATGAAGTCACCGTGACCGTGTGCCCTCAACTATTAAACAGTGAGATACGAATCTCTTGGCTGACCCAGGGGTGATCTGACGTTAGAATGCTGACTTCCGCTGGCCGGTCCCACAGGATGCTCATAGACAAGACATAATTAACACATTTATTAATGTGTATTAAAGTATAAATGCCAAGGTATTATGAAATTTAAAAAAATGCATTGAGATGAATTCTTAGCTATGAGTTGCTAGAATATAGCTTCTATGAACTCTGTAACTTGCTCAATGTTCTCATTACACATCTGAGGAGAGATTTGGGCCATAATAGAAGTTATACATGTAAACTCAGAATGTGAAGAAGTGGAATAATTCCTATTTATTAAGCACAGGGAATAGTCAAGGATTCATATTCAATTAGCAAATTGTTCTGTATTTGTATCTAATCCCCAGTTTGTTTTGGAAAACACATTGAACTTTGCCCTGGAGTGTTTGAAGGCTGTAAATTCAGTCTGGTTGTGTGCAGTTTGCTCCATCACCTGTGCGACCGTCTTTGTGAAATGCTGAAATCAGGGTTCCCAGTTGGAGATGTGGGGCCCACAGGGCCAATAGCCCGATGGCCTAGGAAATTGGCTCCGAATATCCATGGTGTCACTCCCAGACAGCAGTGTGTGAGAGTCCCGTGGTCCCCGGGGTGCAGAGGACATGTAGTGCTTGTTTTGGTAAATCATCCACGGCTGATTCCGACTCTCTTTTTTCTCCTCTGTTGACAACCAGTAACTGATTGAATTACAAATGCTCAAATGTTCACAAACCATCTCATTTGTTCACATCAGGGAAAGAAAAGAAGAGTAGAAAAGGAAGAGAGGATGGAAGGAGGGCGGGAGGAAGGAGAAGGAGGGAGAGAAAAGAGGAGGAGAGGGCAGGGGAGATAGGCGGGGGACGGAACAGAAGAAAGCGGAGACAATAGACAATAAAGCAACCAACCTGTTCCCACAACCTTAATATATTTCAGCCATCATTAAAAATAAATGTTGTGACAGAGATGCTGTAAAAGGGAAGAACTAAAAATAATACCTATGCTGTATCTTACCTTTAAGTATATCTTTTTTTATTAGTTTCAGGTGTACAAAACAGTGTAATAGTTATACATTTCACCCCTCACAAAGTGATAACTCCCACATCCTGTGACTAGATATATATTAAATTACAGTTGACATTCAGTATTATTCAGCTTCAGGTGTGCAGTGCAGTGGTCAGGCATCTACACCGTCCATGAAGTGGACTCCCTAATAAGACAAGTGTCCATTGGATACCCTATAAAGTTTTTACAACATTGTTGATTATATTCCCCAAACTGTCTTTCGTATCCCCGTGCAATCTTGTGGTTACCTGAATGTTCCAGCAGCCACTGGGAAACTCATGTATGTTATGTAACTCTTTCTGTGTATCGCAGTGCACACTAACATGGCAGCTCTGGGTAAAAGAGAAAAGGGACATTTTTATTTGCTGGAAATTGGCACATACTTGTTATGATAAAACAGCTAAAAATGCCTTGAACAAGCTGAGTGAGATATATACCTTCTGAGAGTTAAGAACAATAGAAACAACTCTGAATCTTTATTTTGCCTATTTAGATTCTCGTTATAATTTAATGTCCCTAAAAAGGTAAACATTATTGTGTGAATAATGTTAACTTGCAGACTGGAAGCCCCTGTCATGTTAATGGGTCTGTGAGCCCCTCTGCTAAAAGTGTTTCTGCTTTTCTACAGTGTCAAAGTACATTCTGCACATCTAAATATGTATCTTAAACAGCTTCCAGCTAGAAATTCAGATACCACCTGTATTGGTTCAGGATTCACATTGTTAATATTTAATTTGGCATTCACAGTGGAAATATGCTGAGCTTTTTAGTATATTTTTAGGTAAAGGAGTCAGCAAACCCCAGACAGACACCTACTTCTTGGCTGTATTTCTGTCTTATTTCAGACTAGTTTCTCGCATATCAAATTAAAACCAAAAATAGATAATGCATTTTAAAACTTAGGTTGTATTTTTCTTTACTTGTTATAATATTTATTTAATGTTACTTTTGTTACATTAAATGGTGATACTATCCCAGTAGTCAGCATTCAGGAGTTAATTTACTTAGGAAGCTATAAATTGTTCATTTTCTCCAAGCAGTAACTTATAGTGATAATCACCACAAACAATGTGAAAATCCAAAAGGAAGCACTACTTTTGTACATTCACAATTAGATCAAGCTTGACAATGAATTTTTTATTTATATTAAGTTTTTATTATTTGGAATCTAAAATATTTATCTGTTTGAGATCTTGCATACACAGCTGAGAATACATGCTATTTAGATAATCTTTCTGATGAATTTTAAGATCAAATAAATATAACAAATAATTCACATGTTGTTCATTAAAAAGAAAAGAATGAAAGAGCATATAATGACAATTAAGACTTAAAAGAGAATAGACAGTAATACACACATAGACCGTAAGGAAACATGAAACATTCAAAATGATTTAATATAATTTAATATAAAATTCACCTGAAATATAGAGCCCAATATATCATTTTACACCCCACAAATATCTGTGCTATTTCAGGGAATTTTCGGTCATTTATTCCTACTTGAGTATGTTATGACGTAGCCCTAAGTGTCACATAATAAAAACATACTCAAGTGAAATGAGTGATTTACTTGCAAAATATTAGACTGTACCTAGAAAGGGTTTCCATGAATTAGAGGAATATATTGAAATTTTCCTGTAAGAAATGAAAGAGTGTATTTCTAGCCCACCATTGAATTACCTGTGAAAACTATGAATTGCTACCTCTTGTATGAAACTAAAGGTTTTCTTTCCTTTCTTTTTTCCTTTTTTTTTCTTGAGTCCAGAGAGGTGATTATGAAGGAGAGGGAGAGCATGCAAGAAATTAAGAAATAATGCACATTTCAGTTTTGATACTGAAAAGCAACTTCTGTCAATCTGTTTAATGCATGATGTAGCCATTTGGTTGATTTAAACAGATGGCTCATTTTAACCAGCTTTAAATACAAGAGATATATTGATGTTCAGCAAGACCTTGTAAGGGGAAAGCATGTTTTAGCAAAAGGCTGACAAGTGGACTTCTCCACATATCTTGTCAAGGAGTGTCGTGGTCGGGAGCCTGCGCTCTGAAGGCAGCCTGTGTGGGTTCGAGTCCCCAGCACGCCGTGCCGGGCCGCCTGGGGATGTCACTGAGCCTGTCTGCTGGTTTCTGTCTGTGAAGGTCGTGTTGGAAGTGCAAACTCTTGCTGCGTGAAGTGTGTCTGGCGTATGACATGCACTCACTGTCAATAGCAAGGGTGCCTGCACGTGTGTGTGTCTGCGTGTGTCTGTGTGTCTGTACAAACCTAGTAGGAGCAGAGAGGTGAAGGGGAAGTACACACAGCTCCCTTTCCGGTTCCCCTAATGTTGGGCAGATAGTAATTAGCTGATCATGAGAAGTGGGAGGGGTAATTCTGTTCACTTATATAAACCAGGAACTGTGATGCAATCTCTGTACACTAAAATCTATCCCCATTGCATACGTGTTATGTCCTGCCATTTTTTCCCCAGAAGGGTGTTATTTCAAATAATGGAAAACATGTTTCAGGAACTTTAAGATCCTATAATGAAATAGTTTGTGTGTTTTTAAACACTATTAAACAAAAGGAAACAAATTTTGCCAAGCATTTTGCTTTTGTTGAGATAAGAGCAAAATTTTTGTTTGTTTTCTTTATACCAATTTTTGGTTAAAATAATATGGAGAATACCATAAGAATTTCAAAGTTAGTGAAATTGTATATCTTATAAAAGTGTTTTTCATATTACAGTGTAAAACATTTAAGAGAAATCAAACAAATATTGTTCTTTTATTCAAAATTAACTACCTAAATATTACCTTTTTTAGAACAATTTATTGGAACCTAATAAGATTTTAATAATAAGTTTAAATAGAATTTTATTATCTCTACATATATACGAATAACAAAATAATGAGTTGCATACTGATGTTTCTTATTAAGAATACATATTTCACTGAAAATAACATTATAATATGCAACTTCTCTGCCCTCCAATATTGAGGATCAGAACCTTTTAAAAAATATAAATTCTTTGGGAGGAAAGACCTTACAGTATATCATATTTAACTCACAGTAAATATTTACATGTTTTATAGAATCCTTTTTTACAAAGAAACTTAAATAACAGAGTGAGTATATTGTGAAATGCACGGATACTGAGTGTCTTACTTTACAATTGCGTGTATCTGCAATAATCCCTTAGCTGATAAAATTTATAAAACAACAGCTCAGTAGCTTAACTGGAGCAAGTTATTTATACTCCAAAAGCCAAATGACAGTGACTGCAACCACATAATTGATGAGTTTAAACGAATTTTATGTTCCCAAAAACAATTTTAAAGCTGAGTAACCCAAATTTATTAGCCATATCCAGATGGAATATAAAGTCAATATATTGCTGTTTATGTATCAAGTCAGAGAAAATTATTAAGGATGATTTCAGCCATGGATGGTTAGGGTGGAGGACCTTGGTTAAATTTTGAGGCTATAATTCAAGGAAATTTGGGGAGCTACAGACCTAGTGGAACAAATAAGATAACTGTGCTGTAATAGGCTTTAGCTGAATTATTCTCTTGACTTAAAAAAATGTACAACTGGAGTTGAAATAGCAACTCCATAAAACATTTCAAAATATACTGTTGAAAGAAGTATTTTATTCCAGCTTAGTAGCAAGTAAGACTTCATAGCCATGGAATGTGTAAAAAACATATATAAATAGATATTTTAATACAACTAAAATAGAAATGAGCTATTGGCAAGTATGTAAAAATGATTCTGTTTGAGTATCATTTTATCGTAGGAAATTGGAAAGATTTTTATTTTCAGAATGATACAGTACTAAGTGGCTTTAGCTGAAAAGAATAGCATGCATCTCAGTCATTAACAATTGTCTATAAACATGAACTTAATCGTGGAATATCAAAAGATATTAAAGGGATACATACATACAAAGGGAAGATTAAAAATACAACTTTTCATAGACACTAGGGTTTTTCATTCTAGCATTAAGTGATATTAGATTACATGGGGCCCGGCCCCCAAACCTCAAGTTATTCACTGTGTAATTTTGGACAAGACGCTTACACCCTCAAGGCAGTATATCCCAGCGTATTTTACCTCAAATCACACCTACGTAGCCAAGTCATATGTAATTGTCAGGAAGTGTGAAGATTTGAGATCTCACCCTGCAGCAAGCTAACGAGTTTTGTGAATGCGTGGAGAGTACATGAGACTTGCGGGCCAGAGACAAAGGACTGTGCTGGGTACAGCTCCAGGCAGCACTGGCGCTGGCAGGCTGGCCAGTGGGAGAGTCCCATCTCCCTCCCCACAAGCACAAGCAGACGGGCCCAGGGGGGTGTCTGCACACATAGTGGGTTGTTTCAGGAAAGAAACCCCGAGCATAACAATGCCTACTCTATGCTCTGGAGAGAGAAGCTATCTTTATTATATTAGACAATAAGCGTGTCCCCCTTGCTCCAGAGGGAGACACTGTATCTGTCCCCTGAGGCCACTCACTGGTCAGACAGCCTTGAGAAGACACCCAGGACAAAATGGCAGCCGATGTCTCAGGGCAAGGTCTGCAGAAATGTGGGCAAGCTGTGGACACCTGTCCCCCACAGTGGCAAGCAGCGTCCCCTTATTCACGAACATTGTGGAGTACTAGGCATAGGCACTAGTCTTGGAAGTCAGGATATGGTGACCAATAAGACCAGGTCCCTGGTCTCATGCAGCTTAAAGCTCAGTGAAAGTAAACAAGCAAAGAATGTCAGGAAGTGATTAGATTGACGACATCCAAAGCAGTGTAAAACAAAATAGGAACATACATCTTTATGGGTAAATGTTTTCAGATTTTTGGGGTAGATACCCAGGAGAGGGCTATTGCTGGGTCGTATGGCAATTCTAGTCTTAATTTTTTGAGAAATCTCCACGCTGCCTTCCATAGCGGCTGCACCAATCTACATTCCCACCAACAGTGTACGAGGGTTCCTTTTTCTCCACAGCCTCTCCAACACTTGTTATTATTTGTCTTGTTGACGATAGCCATTCTGACTAACAGTTGTCACCCAATAAACTTTAATTTAAAAAAATTTATATATATATATATATATATATATATATATATATATATATTTAGCTGAATCACGAAAGGGAAACCTTCTCTGAGATTTCTTTTGAGTTGAGACCTAAACTGTAAGATATAAGGAAATAAGAACTGTGACAGATGGAAAGTGGGTAGAAATACCCTGAGAGATGAATAAAAATAAAGATGGTTATGCTAATAATTTTGAAAAGAGACATATAGACAAATCCCTACAAAAATATACATTTCCCTTTTTCAATAAGAACTATAAAGCATAAATACCCTTATAACCTCTGAAAAACAATTGTTGAGTATTTTTAAAATGTTCTCACAGAGAAAATGTGTTTGACAGGAAGGTTTTAAAATATATATCATCAACAAATATATCTGAGAATGCTAATATAACATCTCACAATAAAAAGGAATGTAATAAAGAAAGAAGGCGACCTCCCCCAACACACTGTATAAAGCCTGGTGCAAATTTAGTACCTAAATTGGAGGAAGAGTGTGTGGAAAGGATATTAATGGCCAATCCAACTCAGGAACACAGAGTCAAAGCTATAAATAAAATATTAGTGAAGAGAGACTTTCAAAACGGAAAAGGTGGTCAACTCACTTTGCATACTGTTGAGAGCTCCTGAGTCAGGGCAAAAATTGTCAGCCTTTCACTCCTGGCGACCTTAACGAAGAGCATGTTCCGTGAAGGGGCTGAGGAAAAGCCCAGTTAGTGTGGGCTGAGGAGGAAACGGGGATCAAGTGAGTTCACGCATAGGAATCCAGTTGCTTTATTATACAGTGTTGATATGCAGCTCAAATACCGCCTCCTTCCTGCAGCCTTCAGACGGAACAAAGCGTCCGCACCCCGAGTTGAGCCCATGTCTTGTTCCTAAGGCATCTCAAGCATCCTGAGAACAGCTACTTCTTCGTCGTCCTTCCAGGAAAACAATGTCTTTGTGTGTCACAGTGATTAACAGAGTTTCTCTAATTGGATCGAACTGAAATGTAAGGTAACATTCAAATTCATTGAATTTAATAATCGTGCATATGTTAATAAGGGATTCACATTATTCTTAATTCATTTGTAACCAGTGATGTTGTGACAGTCTCTCTCCACATATTTTCGGGACAATATAGCGCCACATGCAGACACGTGCTCAAATGCAGGAACATGAGTTAAACTCACTATCATGATGTTCATTTAAAGATCACGTGCTGTTTAACTGTCAAAGCAGAACAGTGGGAGACTGTGTTTTCACACTACTTACAGCTATTAAAAATATAGCACATGTAGGGGTGAGCGTGCAAGCAACTTTAGATAAAACACTTGACTTGGACTTGATTCAAGCTTGTGTTGAAAGAAGCAGAACTAAATGTAGAACTGAAAGGGACTTTCTCTGCCCCCAAAAGTGTGCTTTTTCTGAAACCTTTCATTTCTCAGCTTGGCTTCCCAAGTTCAACGGTTCGTGAGCATATTAACTTTCACTTCCTCTATTGAATGATGAAACATAAACCCATGAGGACGTGTGGCTTTGTTTACATTTTATTTTGATTCTCAATAATATTCTTATGGCAAAACCTCGGGAAGGGTGTGAAGTGAAAATGAACATCATTTTTGTTTGACTGCCATCTCTCGTCCCCACACCTGAACAAAGCTCTGTGCAGGCGAAGCATTTCATACGTAAGCAACTCCATTAGCCAGAACCAGGCCCTTGATTGAAGTAAACCCATCTCACCAGCTCGGCTTTTTATATAGTGTTTAGTTCACTATATTTATATTAAGTTTAAAACTTTGAAGGTGGTTTGCTTGCAAAGCAGATTGCAAAGGAAGGCAAAACATGTCTTTAAGCAAGCCAGGGAAATACTGTAACAAGTAACAGTCCATCTTCAAGTTGCTATTTTCCTGGTTTCCTTTCTCTCCTCACCTGACTGCCCGTCTCCTTCTCTTAATGGTTCTGCCTGATCTCCAATATTGTAATGGCCCAGCTATGCGACCTTGAACGTCTTCTCTTCCATCTTCACTCAGTTCCTTGGTGACATCATCCAATTTTATCAGTTTAAAGAGCACTTTATAGCAGCGACTCCCATGTTCACATCTCCAGTCTGCATTTCCTTCTTGAACTCTAGATTCATGTGTATCTACATAGTCATGGTTTCTGCTTTGCTTCTTTCAGGCATTTTAAACTTAAAATTCCTAAAATGGAACTTTCCATCACTGACCACCCGCCCCACCACTGCCTCTTGAGTTCTTTCTTCCCATAATCTTGCCATTTCATTAATGGCGGCTTCATCCTTTCAGCTGTTCAAGCCAAACGCTTGGGTGGCCTTCATGTCTCTTTTTCTTTCTATTTATTTCAAATTCTAGTGTTTTCAAAATATACCAGAATACTACCACTTGTCACTGCTACACTGCTATTTCTGGCCCAAGCCACCAGAATCTGTCATGATTATTGACATTTCCTTGAGACGAGTCTCTCTGTCCCTTGCCTGGCCACATTTCAGTCTGTCCTTCTGCACAGTATCCAGATAATCCTGTGAAAATGTGCGCCGTAAGACATAGCTCCGTCTGTGCACCTGCTTCACTCCGGGCCAGTGTCAGTGGCGTTAGAAGAGTGAATCAGTGGACACGATGTTCCCTTCCACCAGCACCCCAGCACCCCAGCACCACCTCTCTGACTTCATCACCTGCTGACACCTTTCAGCCCAACCCACTCCCTGCCACCTGGGCTCACACTAGCCATGCCTCTGACCCACTCCCGCCCGAGCCCTGCCCAGCGTGTCCACGTGGCCTGACACCCACTTCCGGGGCTTTCCTCAAAGCACTACACCGAGGGAAGCCCACCTCAGCCGCCCTATTTCAGTGGCAATTTTCTTTTTCCCTTGTTTTATTTTCTTCAAAGCTCTTAATCAGCATCTAATCCATTATTTATTTGACTTACATATTTTATTTTCCGTTTTACCCTACTAAAATGTAAACTTACAAAATGACATTTATTTCTGTAGAATTGTGATTTTGAATATTTCAAAGGCATTATTTTTGTTATTCTGATATTATCTGATTTCAATGAATAACAAAGCAGGCTACTTTACCTAATACTTGTTATTGATTAATGTTTATTTCTGCATAATTCCATGCTTCTTGAAATTAAGAACAATTGATGCCTCAATGTGGAAAATCAATATATTTTAAATTTGAAGTGAATATGCTTTGTGATTTCTTTTAAAAAAGACAGAAAAGATATTTTGGAAATGAAAATTCTTTTCTCTGGCAAGCACTTCGGTTCCATCATCTTCATTTTTTTCATAAAATTCTATAGCCATCTTTGTTGCATGAGAGCCCTTATCACACTGATCTCTTCTATTAAAAGTGCAGTCCCCAGACAGCGTCAGGGAAAGAGGATACCATCTAAGTTAGCCTGGATATATTTTAGAGTAAGCGTGTTCCAGATTTAAATTACTTATTCTAAGTCAGTTAACTGCTCTAAATTGTTTTAATTAATGATTTAAGATGTAAGGCAATTATGGCAAAGTGGAAGCAAAAAAGCACGTAATGGCATAATTAGTTTTTAAAAGCGCCGTGGGGGTAATGTCACCTAAATGGCCTCTGGTCTCACTGTCCTATGCCTCGAGTCACCAACATCTCACATTTCTGCTTATTGCGAAAGGTTAGCTAGTTTGATTTTGCACCGTATGGCACAGACTCTAATCCTGGAAGCTGTACCCCTTTTGCACAGATGACATGATGGGTAGTGCTAAACGTGACACAGTGCTTGAAATTAGAAAGGAAGAGACACAGAATCATGGAGCAAAGCGGTGTTTCAGTAGTGGTTAGCGCTTTGATGATTGAAAGGCCAAATAGTATGTTATTCAAGTGAAATGCAGAAAAAGAGGAAAGAACACCAATGTCAAGATCAGTATAAAAGCTACTGAAATTAACCCAAGAAATTAACCCAAGATCTCTTCCTCTACCTGTGAAGACCTAACATTTCAGTGACTTGGGTGTAAATGGAGAGGGGATGAGACCTACATTATGGTATTCTGTATTCATTTACATGCTGCTATGGGCACAGAACACAAATATCTTTGAATTATATAGAATGAAATCAATTGAGGAGGAGGTCTCATCAGTGTTAGGGACCTAAGTCATGAGTGTTGTTTTCGTGGACATTTTTGTCCCCCCATAGGAGCTTACAAGCTGACATTAATATTTATTTATCTCTATTCTTGGGTCTAATTAAACATGATCAACTTGCTTGATTGATTGTCTTTGATTAACAAAGCCTCAATTTCGTTAATTATAAATACTTAACCTTCTGCCTTCGAGAAATAGTGTGCTATTTACCAAGAACCAAAGAAATCCTTGGAAAATGGATTTACAAGGGTAGAAGCTCAAATACTGGGTGAGAATATGCATGGAATAATTTTATGGAGGTGTTGCTGTTTCCTGCAATTATCATTATGTTTTAATCTTATTCTAGATGTAGATGGAGAAGTCACCTGAGAATTATATTGTAACTTCTAGTAAACATTGTATTCTGTTTCTTTTACTTAGACTATAATTTTATTTAATATAAGTAGTAAGATGTTTCCAAAAGCAGAGATTGGAGGCAGCTCATGCATTTAATAATTAATGCAACCCATAGGCGGAGGAAAAACTGTCAGTGCCGACCCCCGTCATCCTGCCCCCTCGCTGAAGGCCTGCTCACACCCGTGTGCTGCTGGCGCCTTGCCTGGTGAGAAATTCCACAGGGAACCTCAGCACACACCCCCAAACTCCACACTTCCCATTCTTACCAGGGGCAGCGGCAAGTAAAGGGGAAAAATCAGGGAACAAGGTGGGAATTGGCGAGGAGGTTGGAGGAAAGGAGGAAGTGGTGGGAATGGACCCAGAGTGGCAGAGACAGACCTAGTCACCAGTGCTTTTCTCAGTGGAGTTCTGTGACTAAAATAGGAAACAGTAAGTACACCAAAATTAAATTCAACATTGAGTGAAGTCTGTCAGCCTAATGAAAGAACCAATTAGAGAAAGATTTATGGCACAAGAAGGTGTTTCCAGCAAAACAGTTTTTATATGAAATTTCACGTGAAATTTTCAAAATCAAGGAGACAGTAACCAAAGAAAATTATTTAAAAAGTTTGATAAGGATGTTGTCATGTATATGAATGAAGGTGTCTCAGCGTTCATCCAATGGGAAAAGGGTTAGTTGACTTTAAAAAGCTAGAGAACCAGCTCTGGGTCTGTGTCTGGCAATAGTTTGCTTTGGAGTAAAGAGTAGGAAATAATATATTAGTGACAGCATGCGGTATATGTCACTTAACTGCTCATCTGTGATTTAGGTATAGGTAATTTTTTGCTCTTTTAATTGAGATTCCAGTGATTTTTTAATAAACTAAGCATACTTTTTGTTGATTATCCATTTGCTCACCCCATTTTTGAGTCACCTATTGAAGTGCTTTATTCAGTTTTTATCACTTATTTTTCTTACATTTTCCCCATTGATTTGTAGGCATTTCTTACACATTCTGGACACTAGTCTCATGTGAATTTTACATGTTGCAAATGACCTCTGCACAGCATATGTTCTCTCTGGTAATTTCGTTAAGGATTAGAATTCCAAATCAATTCTTACCTTATGATTGTAGCAAGTTGAATACTATTCAATCCATCATCTCCCTAACATCCTATTTTTTCCTACTTTTCATTTTATTGCCTTTGTAGTTCTGTCTGTAATATGTTGGTCTTCAGTTCCACAGAAATCTACTAATATACATAGCAGTTTTATTTTTGTCTTTAATGAGGTTTAAAACACTGTTGACTACACAATTCATCCTTTCTCCATTAATTGATGGCACTATGTTTGTGAAATATAAATTTCCCAGACATACAAGTGTCCATCTTTGACCTGTGTGTCTCGTGCTGTGAGTCTGTCTCGTCTCGTGACACCAGCATCAGGTCCTCACTGTGGGCGTCCCACAGCACCCCCTCCTGACCACTGCTCTCTCAAGGTCGACTTAACTACTTGAGGAATTCATTTTTCCCCATTTGTCTTAGAATACATTTTAGGATAATTTTAGAATTAACTCTAAATAATCTACCCACATAATTGGATTGAAATTGCAAAGCATTTAGGTAATACTTCTGGAATGTTGACATTTTCCAAATACCAGATTGTCTTATCTGGGAGTAGGAAGCCCTTTCATCTGTATCCTTTACTAGAATTTAATCTCCTTTGCAATCAGAGGTCTTGTGTATTCTTTTCAGGGTAATGTTTACTTGACAAACTGCACTGCAGTTTCTGGGATTCAGTGAATTATATCTCACTTTCCCTCTGCAGTTTCCTTTTACAATGTATTGTTGTTGGTATAAATAAATGGTGCTATGAATTTGTGTAACCTATCTATTAGAATCGTCTGGGCCCCTAATACTTAGTGGTAATGAGGGAGCTAAATGTTATGAGATGCAGCAAATAAAAATACAGATAATGACTTAGTATAAGAATGTCTTATGCAAACACTGGGACGTACTGAACGTTATTCATTGTTTATGTAAAATCCAAAGTTAGCGGATGCCCTGGGCTGTATGTGGCTTTATCCCCAAATGTTTCTGTGTCACAGGCAATGCTGAGAACGACTCGTGTGGCTCATTGTGTTGTCTGCAACCATCGTTCCATGTGCATCTTCCGACCACCACCCGTCATGCAGTTTACAGTCATTAATAAATGTCCTTATGATTCACTGCGATTCAACAGTGGAAGATGCTTACTGGCAATGTTTTATTGGTTTCTTCCTTTAGTTTGGCTCATGCGTTCTGGGTGATTTGGTAAACTGCCCTCTTTTAGGGAGACCATGCTCCCCTGTGTATAGCTCCCCTCTCCTGTGAATCCCCCTAAGACATCACTGGCCCTCAGCCTCAGCGTCTCCTGTGGAGATGCGGGAGCATATTCTGGGATGTGCTCATGGTATCCTGTCTTCACGTTTTTACTGTAGAACTCTCTTCATACTAAACGTAAATTGTGAATGAGCATAACTAGTGCATATGTGTTTGCTTGCCTTATTTGTTTTCAATTTCAGAAAAAGATTTACAAGTTTATATAAAACTAAGCAGAGAATCCAGCAGAGAGAGAAAGAAAGAAATTACATCATGAAAGAAAAACTAAATTAAAATGTGTTGAAAATGTCATTCCATCCATTGATGGAAACAGGCGGCTCTAGTTAAGGGTTCTGTCACAGTCTCAAAAGTGAGGTCAGGATTGCAGGGCGTCGTTGGGGGACATGGAATGCAGCCCTCATTCTCCCAGGGCTTTCGGGCTGGGGCCGGGGCCGGGGACCTCATCGCAGTGGTGGGAAAGCTTTTGGTAAAATGTGTTCTGTACAGACTCACATACGACCACGGGCTCTAGGTGTTACAAAAGCTACCGATATTGGTAGAGAACTAAATATCTCCTTTTACAAACTTCTTTCTCCTCTTATAGCATTTAAAAGAGAGAGAGAGAGAGAGAGAGAGAGAGAGAGAGAGAGAGAGAGAGGCACACAATACCCTTGTCTGCCTAAGAGCCTCCCCTGTATGACTCTGTCTCACTGCATCCTTCTTTATCCTCTCGCCCCTTCACTCCATCATCAACGTCATGGTCATCTTTGTGAGTCATGCTGCTGCTGTGTGTGTTTCCCACGCTCAGCTGAGCTGCACAGTTCAGCCAATCGACTCCCATCAGGCATCCTGGGTGCCGCCTGTACCCCCTGCTCCACACTGGGTTGAGCTCTGCAGAGAAGCAAATCCATTTTCCTAATTTGGCGCTGCAAACCCTAAACAAAGGCCATTGCATGGTGACTGTGCAGGACACAGAACATGAGCCAACTCGAGCCTGTTGGTCCAGTCGTGCTGTTAAAACCCTGGCTCTGGACTAAGAGCGCCTGAGCCTGATCTCAGTCGGTCCCACCACATCCAGCTCCGACTTTGAGTAAGTGACACAGTTCAGTGAGACTCCATGACAGGCCTGCAAGTGACCAGAAATGACACCTTCTCTGTTGGTAAAGCTGGAACTAGGTTATCCATGTAAAGTGCTTCGTGCTCGTTGCTACTTAATAAGAACACAGCAGGTTTAGCTGTTTTTTTTTTTTTTGCAGGGAGGTGCTTTATTTTGTTTTGCCATCCAAGTGTTATATGCTGGAGTTCTGAAGTGCACAATGCGAGGCCAGTTAATCCCAGGACGTCTGTTAATAATCTCCTTAGCAGCTGGCTCCTGCCCCCCCGCTGCAGCCCGTGTTCCCTCCTGCATTACTGTGCATCCCCGCCAGTGCTCCACCCCTCACTGTGTCACGACTGCTCCCTCCTCACTCCTTTCAGCGGAGTCCCCTGGACAGCCAACGCGGCAGACCCACGGGGCTCGTCCTTGTCCACTTCAGTGCAAACGTCACTTTTCCTGCGCGATCACTCCTCCCTGCTCCATGCAAAGTGGGCGGCTCATTTCCTTATTTCCAGTCTGAAAGAAATGGGTAGCATTCTCCCTCCCCCTCGGGTGGCTTGAAACCAGTAATGTTCCATTCTCATATAAAAACAGGTGCCCCTTGGGCACCTGACAAACAGCTACGCACTCCGCGGTCCTTCCCTGGTGCTGTGCTCACTCTGCATTCCCCAGGGACGTTGGCACCCCAAGATTATGTACTTCTCTCCTGAACTACATTTGCCAGTATCCTGGCATTCGTCATTCATCTCTGGAGTTTGAAAATTCCATGTGTGCTGTGACCCAGTTGCCCTGATTGCATGATGTCTTGACCTCCCAATATTTCAATATTTTATCTCAACATTTTAACTTTAAACCTTTTCTACAACCAAGCTCTGAAATTTTCCATTACCTGAATATTTGCTTTTTAAGCATTTTTGAATCTCAGTATTTTTCTCTGAATACAATACCAGATCTTTTCAACCTTCAAAAGTTTCGCTTCTAGTTCTCCTTACTCCAGCGTTGTTCCTTCCCTACGGGATACCCACCTCCGTGTAACAGACACACCACGCCTGACTACTCCAGAGAGCTAACTTCTAAGCTCTTACCCTGGCATCAGGTAATACAAGGAAAATGGGCCACCCTGGTAAATATGTGCAATACAGACGTCATCCCAGCAATGTGACAAAGATTCACACCAGGCAGGCCCACTTCAGACAGTCATCTGTCCCTCGTGTCAACCCTCGGTCTAGTCTCCAAAACCCATGTGTGCCCACCCTGGCCTCTCTGCACACCCACTCCGCCCCCTGTCATTAACCCCCGCACGCTGCGGGGACCTCGCCTCCCAGAATTCACAAGTCCATTCTGTCACTGGGACGTTTGTCACAGCCACCTTCCTTTCCTACCAGCCACGCTGTGCTTTCTTCTTTCGGTGGAGAACTGTGCCCTCAGCCTGGTGGAGGGATACCCCTCCCTATGCTCCAGGTGTCACCCCCACCTGTTCCTTCAGCCACCTGACCATCGGCGTCTGCTTTCCCCCTTGATTTGGAATCCTTCCTGCACCTTTACTGCTAGAACATGTACATGCTCAAACCAGTCTGCGTTCACAAGGAAAGACCACAAGGTGCTCAGAGACCCACATTTCCAGCTCCTATCCTCTGTACCCCGTGTTCCGAGGGAGTCCATGGCCTGCTACCACTCAGCCTCCCAGGAACCAGCGCCTGGCGTCCGTCCCTGCTGCACCGGGTGCCTTCGCCTTCCATGCAGCCCGGCCCGCGCAGGCGGAGGGGAGCACCTCCTGTCCCGACTACTGTGAGCATCGGGCTGTGGGCATCTCTCCCAGCCAAGCGCCCCTTTGCCTTTGGCCTCGGTCACGCTGCTTCTCAGCCACCATTTTGAATGATTCATTTCTTGACTTGAAATGCAGTATCGCCTAACGACATTCTTCACCTTTAGCTTTTTTCCCTTTAAACATTTTCTTTCAATGACTTCATGCAACCTATGGACTTTATAAGGAAAAAAAAATGAATTCATTTATTCAACAACTAATCATTAGGGCATTATTACATGGCAAGCACTCATGTATGCAATGGGAACATAAGTGAGAAAATTGAATGTAATTTCCTGATAGAGCTTACATTTCAGTGGAGGAAATAGATAACAAACATAAAAATATTTGTTCTTTGCTACAGAAAGAAACGAAGCAAGATAAAAGTGAAAGTGGGTGTCAGTGGCAGGAATAGAGCCTTGTATGGAAACACTTATTAAATCTCATTTACATCCCAGAAGTCCAGTCAGTTAGCAAAGAAGGCTGATTATACACACATACACACGCGCGCACACACACACACATACACACACACACACATATACACAAACACACATGTGTGCATGCACACATACACACACGCACATACACACACATACGCACACACACATACACACAAACACACGTGTGTGCACGCACACATACACACACACACACATACACACACAAACACACGGTGCCAAAAAAATGTGTATACATTTTAAGAAAAGAAGAACGATATTAAAATTACACTGATAGTAACCACTTTGAGCACCTCTTGTAATTGCAGAAGTCAGACGTGACGTGTATTCATGTTTTGTTATCAGTATATATTGAGTATTACAATTTTAATACAGTTTTTTCCTTTTTTTAAATGTGTATACATTTTTTGGCACCCTCTGTATATATACATACTGATTCATCTGAAACACTGCATTGGAGGCGGAGCTCTGTGGGGACCCTGGGCCCCCAGGAAAATGAACCAGTGGGTCCTGGAGGAAAGTAAGCCTGACACATGGCTGGAGGCGAAATGACAACACCAAGCCATCAGGCGCATGGTGACAAGGCAGGGATCTCTGGAAAGGACAGTGATGCTGGGAAATAGAAGGCCACAGCGGGAGGGAGGGAGACCAGACATGAGATGGACGGGTTCCATAAAAGAGACCATAGGCTGAGCCCCCAGGAGCCGAGTAGGGCTGTGAGGACAGGACACTGGGGACGTCACTCATTCGTGGGGCCCCCAGGAGTCGGACAGCCCACTTGTGGTCTCGGGCTCCCTTATTACCTCCTGTGCCCTGGCTTGTCTTTGTTTCTAACTCAGCATGCCATCTGGTGTCCCAGACATCAGTATAGAGAAAAACTCGGTCATCAGTGAAACCACACACTATTAAAAGTAGGGTAATCAGGGCCGGCCGAGTGGTGCGATGGTTGAGAGCTGGCTTGGGACGCCAGAGGGCCCCAGTTTGGATCCCACATATGAGGGCCAGTGACACTGCCCTCCACAGCTAAGATGCTGAACAACAGCTCAACCTGGAGCTGGGCTGCCGTGAGTCGCCGGCGACGGCGTAGGCTGCAGCCCCTGTGGCAGTGGGTTGCCATGGGCTACCGTGTGTAGCCAGCAGCCAGCGTGAGCAGCCAGCAGCCGCAGTGAGCAGCCGTCCAGAAGCCGGCGACTGATCTGCCTCGCCCGGGAAGAGTGCAATGATGGTGCCAACTTGGGCCAGTGAAGCAACATCCTCCACAACTAGACTGAAGAACAAAAAAAAAATGACAGTAACTTGTCTGTTTCCCTTCCCCCAATTCCCCAGCACTGTTCCATCCCCCCAACTCCCCAATAAAAATCTTTAAAAAAAAAAAGTAGGGTAAGCAATATGATATGTTGAATTTGTACAATCAATGCAAACTCATAACCAGAAAGGAAATTTTTTCCAAGACCTGTCACTCATTAAAATTGCCTCAGTAGCAGCATCAGGAACAGATACTCACCCACCCAGCCCCAG